GCAATCTGCCAGGGTAATCCAGGCCGGTGCTGGCGGCGAACGCGGCGGTGGCAGCGGGCATGGGCGACGGGGGCACGGAGGGCGACCGCGGCCCCGCGCGCCGTGCGGAGCCTGGAAGCCACTGTGGGCACCACCGGGACCACGGCGTAGCGGAGGACTTATGTGCTGATGGGGGTTGCCGAAGTCCAAGGGAGGTTGCCGGGACCTCGGCCTCCAGCCCCGCGGGCTTCAGGGAGAGCGGCGCGGACAGCGACGGGCAGCCTGGGCTTGGTGAGACCGACCACTGCCGCCGTATCCTGGTACGAGGTAAGGGAACAGCGCGGCTCTGGTTCCCTGGGCCCCCAAGCTGCCCCTCCAGGGGCCTCCGAGCTTTCTGCAACCTCCATCTCTCAATTCATATATTGGTTCATTCATTCAGCAGTGTGTGCAGCAAATATTCTGAGTTAATATATTGTGTGCGGGATCCTGAGCTGAACGCAGGGGATAGAGCAGGGGTTGGAAGAAGTCTTTGTTTCTCTGCTCTGCAGCTGGACCTCTTGGGCCCGTCCCCTCTCCCTAGGCCCATCCGCACTGGTTACTGTAGAAGGGACACAAGAGGGTTGGAGAAGCAGGACGCCAAAAGCCTGGGCCGGTGCCCCGCGACACTCAATGTAAGGGAGAAAAAGTGTCACGCGCGCTCTTCAGGGACAGGGCATGGAGGGACCAGAGTGGGCAGCTGCTGGAGAAAGCCGGGAGGTGGAGTTGCTTCCCTGCCTTTGCCCAGCCTTGTTTCCCAGCGTCAGGCCTTGCTCTGGTTGCTTGCATCAGGGAGCACAGTTTACACTAGGCCCGCTGGATTTCCACAGACCCAGGTCCCACTTACTTCCTACTGGCTCTTAGGCCCAGAAGGCTTGCTCCTTTGGCCTTCTAACAACTCTTCTTTCCCTGCCATTTCCTGGGGCTCCCGAACTCTTTATAGCACTCTCCTGCCATCTCCCTGTCAGGCCCAGAGACCTCCAAGGCCAGTCTCCTAGCGTCCTGGTTCTAGGCCAGTGAGAAAGGTATCTCAGGTTCTGCCCTCAACTCATCCAAAGACCAGGGTCTGTTTTTCCTTGCCAAGCTGGAGCCTAGGGTCTCCGGATTGGCTTTTTCCAGTCTCTTCTGACCATCTGGGAGCCAACAGTCTAGTCTTCTGCCTGGGGGTTCCCAGGTTTCTCTGGAATACCATGGCCTGGGTACTGTGCAACTTTCCTGAAGTCCCTGAGTGTGAGTGGCCCTGCGGAGGGAACATGAATCCCCTGCTAGGGCAGGGCATGGAGGCAGCCTGCCTGAAGGCAGCCTTAGCTGTTTTGAACGGGATGCAGATCCTGCTCAAGAAAACACTGCTGATAGTAGATGTAGTCACCAGGAGATTGGGTGGCCACTGCAGCTCTGGCGACTGGCCTGGAGTCAAGGCAGTTGTACCACCTGCAATCCTGTTGGTTGCCTGGGATGGATTCCATTCTGTGTACTGTGGGGGGTTCTGAATGCAAAGACTGAGCCACCAGTTGAGTTTCATTGAGGAAATCTGTAGGGCTGTCAGAGATGGTAACAAGCTCCAGAGACCAAAGCTCCCAGGGTAAGACATCAAGCCGCAGCCCATGATGTCCATCATATCCCACCCCACCTAGGGATGGGCATCTCCTGCCAGAATGACTGTGACTTCTGAACACAACTACCACCCCCTCTATTCTGTCAACCTTTGTGTAGAACAAATAAATTGTGTGCTTGGATGTCAATGAGGTCGTCTCCACTGCAGACTCAGAGGGTGGGAATAAAAGCAACCCTCCCTCCCCTGGGGTGGGGCCAATGAAGCCAGGCAGAGATGGGTTCCTCCATATATCGGGTGGCCCCTGTGTACCTTTTATAAATGTTCCTACTCATGGCAATGCCATTACATTTGTAAAATAGGATGGAAATACCAAATAGGAAGCAAAGTGGATACTGTTCCATACCTGACCAAAATAGAAGGCAAAAGCAGTGCTCAGAAATCCCTCTGCCCTGCCCCCATTTAATGACAAGGACATTACTACAGGACTGAAATGCCCAGGACATCATTTACCACTAATCCCTCCTAGCCAGGGTCACCTGTGTCAGTCACTAGAAACCCCACCACAACTCAGGTAACTCAGGCTTCAGTATGTGATGCAGGGCCTGTACCAGGGAAAGGCCGACTGCACATTGGGAAAGGGAAGCCTTCATTGTCCTAAACAAACAGTCCTCCCATAGGCTCCAACACATTTTACCCTTGACTTCTGATGGGTATCCTCCAAGGAACCTTAGAAGGAAACCTTTTTAAAAGGTGGAAGAGAAGCGATTGTCTATTCAGCCCTAGTTGCCCATTAAGGTCCTCCAAAAAAGGGTCCCACTCCCTCTGGATCTTTTCAGACCCCCCCACCACCACCACTTCTTTCTGTCCTCTGCTGCCTAAGGCCCATTTCCAGGATGTGGGATTAGTTGAGGGAGGCCTTTAGCACTGGAAAGTTAGAAAAGAGCTGGGCAGCAGAGGTTAGTAGTGCTGGCTTTGTTACCCCCACCCTTGCCTGCTTCCTCTATGCTAATGATCCAAGATGCTGCCCTGACCACTACCACTAGAAACATTTTGCAGGGTCTCCATAAATATCTGTTGAAGGAAGGAGTGGATAGCCCTGGGTGACTGACAAATCTAGTTGTGATTCAGTGGTGAGAGACCTCTCAATTCCCTTTCCCTACACACACACACACACACACACACACACACACAAACACACACCAGACCTGAGCCTTCCCCTCCTCCTCAGCTCAGGGACTGATTTGCATTGGAAACTGAACATCTTAGAGGTCAAGAACCAGTTGATAAAGAAAAATCAGCACTACCTTGCAGAAAAACCGTGGGACCGGACCCTCCTCAGTCTGTTGAGGATCCTGCTTGGCCAATGACTCAGACTTTGCTGCCTCTTTGCCCTGGCCCAAGCACTGTGCCACTAAGATGACAGGTATGCGGACAGCATACCCCCCCACACACACACCAGATATGAGGCACAGAGAGGCTTCCTTTGGGGTCCTACAGCTTCCTAGGCCCCCAGACATCTCTTATGCTAGGCCCTTAGCCAAGGAGTGGTGGGGTGGAAGGAACCTTTTGTTTTATCACAGAAAGAGCTAACCAATGGAGACAGCAGGCCACTGGAAGGAACAGGGCCTATTAGCCATGGCTAGGCTCACAGTACAGCTGGACAAAGCTGTTCTGGCCCTTTCTGTGGAACAAATATCGCACAGGCAGAAGACAAGGGACAAATGTAACTCACAACTCCCTGTAACTAGATATCCAGGCCTACATGATTTCCACAATAATCCAGCGAGTTCAACAGCTGATCTTGATAGATCTGAGAATACTCCACACTTTTAGGACCCTTACAAGAGGCCAGTAACCTGCTCTTTCAGAGGTGCCCCTTAGAGCTGGCCACCTCCTCAGAGGGTTTCCTAACCTTTCTAGACAAACCTTGTGGGAGGATGGAAGAATGGCAGATCCTTGGGAGGAGGGGATCCAGTCTGGGCCTCTGGCTTGAAAGGAAGAGAATTTGACCTAAGCACCATCTGGCCCCTCAAAATATGAAGTTAGCTGGGACCCACAAACTGGAACATTTTACACACTTTCACAATGGCTGCTTGGGTGGACTTTCTTCCCATAAATGCACCAGAAAAGCAACCTGAGGTGGGGAGGACTTAAGCACTCCCCTTGGGATGCTCCCTTCTTTGCTGCTGGGCTGGGCTCCAATTCCAGGGGCTCCTGGGCCTGGGGAGACCCCTGACTTGCAGACCTAGCCTTGCTGAGCAGGCTGGGAGGGATCGCCTCTGGGCTTCTGAGAGATGACCATATAGATCCGTAGATACATACAAAAACCTAGCTCAGCAGCCTGTCCCCCCCCCCCCCCGCCCCAAAAGCAGGGCAGGTGTTGAAAGCTTTAAATACCTCATTCAGAAGCCCTAATTTGGGAAGTTTTGGGTTAATTTTCAGTGGTTAATTTTAATGTTTGAAGAGAGTATTTTTACATTTTTTATGTGATTGTCTTGTTTTCTATTTCTCTGTTTGGTTTGTTTTTGACAGGGGGACCCACATTCCCTTTGCTGGTTTGTGTGGGTTGTCATTTGGGCCTTTATTTTTCCCTCTGTGTACTAACCACCCTCCCACAGCACAGAAAGCTGAAGCAGGCGCCTTGCTGCTGTCTTCTGCGCCCAGGCCTCTTTTTCCGAAAACAGCATTAGATGGCTAGCTAGCTACCTGACCCTCTTGAGCTTTCTACTCTAGCCTCGTCTCGTGGACTCAGGCTCGAATGGATCCCCACATCCACAGGACCCGAAGTAGGGGCCCTGAGGACAAATTCTTCGAAAGCTGGAGCCAGGAGTGTGGGTCACTGGGACTGGGGAACAGTGAGACTTGCTTCTGGGGCGGATCCCCACCTCACTCAACCTCATCCCCTGCCAATCAGTCCTCGGCAGGGAAGAGGCCACTAGCATTGCGTAGACCCAGACTCCATTTCTCAACTGCAACCCCCGCCCCCCTGCGCTCCGCTCCTCTTGGTTAAGATACATTTCTTTCATTCTATTTTAATTGGGGGCGGCAGGGGGAGCCTTTGAGTTTTATTCACCTTCTCTTTCCTGTTTAGTAGGAGGTAAGAGATTGGCATGCGTCTTGGGGGGCGAGGAGGGGGATTTTCGCGCTGTGTACCCCCCACATGCTGCACCGCAGGATGAGCTGATCTGATAGAGGACACTATCTGATAGATGAACCACCAGGGAGGGTGCCCTAGAAATCAAGCTGGAATCCGGGAGGCCGGTAACCGGCGCCTCAGCCTCCTGGACTCTGCAGCCTTCTGCAGAGCCCTAGGTGCCCCCGAGGTTGGGGACGGAATGAGGGCGCGGCGGCTGGCGGGGCCCTGGAGGGTAAGGCCAAGGATGACTGGGCGCAGTCAAGTCCAGGCTTCCTTTGCTAACTGGGCGGGTGCTGTAACCGTGACTCTCACACCTGCACCCTCGCTCCCTCCTTGACTCAGTCCACAGACAACGATGTGTGTCCGCCATGTACGAGAAGCAGCTCCCCACGCTGGAGCTCCGGGTGCAGGCACAGATGCTCATCTGCCCCTACTACCAACCAGGCGGGGCACACAGGGCTCCAGACTGAGGGAGCCGGGTAGGGGAGGACACCGCGTCCACCAATCCTCGCCGTCTTTCAGGCATCTCAGGACGCAGTAGGCGCTCAAATATTTGTCAAATAAATAAAAGGAGACCGTTCGTCACCATGACGAATTTTC